AGAAAGTATTATATTGTGTTCTTGCACAACAAATGTGGTGTTCGTGTTTGCTGTTGATATACACGTAAACTCCACTAATTGATTTTGTGGGTTAAGGCAAGAAATTTCTGAAATTAATCACTGAAAATGTATTCAAATTTCCTCTGTTATCAGGTTTTACTAAGAAGATTAATTTTACTTGTATTTAATTAATCATTTCCCTTCTTGATTGCTTGTTTGATGAGTACTTAATTCCTATTTCACAAACAGTCCATTCTTGATATGTTAACTCTATAGTTCTTGCTCGTAAATAACTCTGTTTTAATCCATTTCCAAACAGGTTAGAGAGAGATTACATAGATCTTAATCTCATGCGGCCTCTTATAAACAAGCTCAAACCGATCTTCCCGGTTTCAGGATCAAACGGTAAGTCGTACTTTTAAATCCTCTGCTTTTTTTTTTTTTTTTATGGGGAAGAAAATGAAACTAAGTGGTTTTGTTGTATGAGTAGCAGGTAAAGTGGTGAGAACCATAGTACCGAAGAAACTGGGGAACGAGAACAATAGTGAAACCGCAACAATCAAGAAGATTGAGGAAAGGGTAGAACCAATGGTTGCCTTTAGTAGACCACCGCCATTTTCACCATTCGTCGGTCCATTGGTCATGTATTCGCTTCTTCAAACATGGTCTAGCCGCGAACAAGACGGTTAGTTGCAGCTTGGACTGTATATATCATGGAGATGTTTTCTTCACCATAATAACTTAACTAAATCTTCTCTGATAGATAAAAAAAACATTGTGAGATGTTTTATTAGATGTAATGAAGGTTTGATGCTGTTTATAGTAAGTAGATCACTTAGTTTGGTTTTTTTTTCCCCTAAGCTTTATGTGTGCTATGTGAATCATGTAATATATAGTGATTAAACGAATTTTGTAGTAATGTAGTTCATATGCAAGTATGCAACTAGTAACTGATGTAGTGTTTTTCAACCAAAGCTAATGGGCTTGGCCAAATTCAGATCCATCAGACATTCTTTTTAGATCAATCAAACTTTAACTTCAGTGTTTTCTGAATAAAAAATGTCGTTGGGAACAATTTTATAAACCAAATCATGTAAAGTGAACATAGAATAATCATATCCCTGTGATAAAGCTGGCACCAAATGTCACATAAAATAATAATTAGAGAATATAAAGCAGGTACATAGACACCTTTATTATTATTTTCATGATTCTATTTTAAGATTTAAGTTATTAAGAAGACGACAGAAAACAGTATCAATTCAAGAATCCAAAGGAGAATGTAATACAATATTTAATGGGGCCATTTCTCTCATTTATCTTCTTAATTCTTTTAGCTATTCAATTTAATTAAAAACCTAAAACAGAGAGCCCACTTTTTAGGTCTTATTCAGATCCACTTTTGGTTCAGATTTTTCACCGATGTGGCGATTTTTCCCTCTCGCGATTCGATTTGATTCTTTGTTCGCAGGTATCTGCAATTTGGTTTTGTTTCGTTTATCTGGTCAACTTGTCGTTTTTTTGATTTTTTGTCGGAAGAAGTATCGATTTTAGATTATCAAGGGAGTAGCTTAGGAATCTTTACTTCGGGAGGTAGTACTACTTTGCAATATGAAGATTTGCTAGTTGATGTTCGATCTTCTTGTGTCCACTTCGAGTTGCTTTGATCATCGGGAATTTTGTCAATCTTGTTGGTAACACATTTGCCTTTGTTTCTTCCCCTATTGGATGAGGTTCGGTTGCTTTGTGTTTTGGCCAACGGAAGGTTTGTATTATGATTTTTGATGTGTTGTCTACATTTTTTGAAAGAAGTAATAATTATCATCCCTAAAAGAGAAGTTATATTTGAAGCTTGGAGCATTGTGTTTGTTCCCTTCTTCTGACAACCAGTGCACCGAAAGCGTTGCTTGTGAATGACCTTTGTGGCTTCATGCTTTTATGGAGGCAAAGTTCGCTAATAAACATAAGAGCATATGATGATCAAGTTATGATATCAGACTAATGATGGTACTCATTTTAAGGTGTTGGGATTTTTCATAATCCCATACCCGAAGCTTTGTTCTTCGTTTGTATAACATCTATTGATGTTTCATTTGAATTTTTGTAATTTTTTCATACCGGTTTTCAGTTTAATAAGATTGATATTCAGCGTTAAAACAAAAAACAGAGAGTTCCATCTTTTTCTTATGGACTTTTCCAATTTAATTGATTATGAAATAGTTTTTTTTATTTATAAACAGTGGAGTTCCAAACCTTTTGGTTCTAGAATCAGTTATAATCTCCTTCGTATCCAAAATCAGTTTGTGGATATTTCAATTTAGAACAACTCTCCACCCCAACAAGACTTGGTTTGAATCTGAAGCACAAAAAAAACTAACTCTCTTGTATTACTATTAGGCGACTACCTCTTTAGTTATATTATGGAAGAATTTTGATATTCGATTCATTTTCTTTACCTACTATCATGCATAGTTGCATACTCATTTGGAGTCAACAAATCGAATCTACCTACACCATCTAGGCATTTATATCACGTACTACAAACGGCAAAAACCAAACGAGTAGTAGTTATAGTCATCTATCATCTTAAATTATTAGCTAACAACAACAAAAAAACAATAATCCCTAATTCATATAGGGTTCATGTTTGGCACTTTTCAGTCCCTTTTTTTTGCAGTTTCTACATTACACATATACTTTTTTTTTGTTTTCGGACGCACATATACATATATATAGTTATTAATAGTTGACAAAATAAAATACACATATTAGTTGACTTTTATTTTAGTGCATTGAAAAGGGATTTTTCGAAGAAATTGATTTTTTTTAGGAAAACATCATAATTGAAAAACAAGTTCTTCGTTTTTTTTGTGTTAAAATAGGTTTAACACACAAAAAAATGACTTAATACATGTGATAATATTTTCATAGATAAATTATAAATTTCATCGTGTTAAAAACATAATATTCTATATAATAGTGGACCATTAAAATATAACAACATAATATTTTTGTAAAACATATATAAATTTTTGCAGTTTCTCGAATAATATATACTATTAAATATTTACGAAAATACCATCACATTTTTTTTTGTAAATATTGATAATTGTAAAGTAATTTACTATAATTACCCTTGATTAATCAAACAGGGATATATGTTTCCTTGCAAATGATATAAATTAAAAATCTATAGAGTGTTAAACATATTTTTTTGCAGAAACCATATATGCTAATGTATCTGCATAAGTAAGATTGCATTAATCATTCAATGCATTTATAACGTTAAATAACTATCTATGAACATGAGCATCTTTATTTTTAACCATAGATCATGAGTATATCTAGAATAGATCATGAGTATATCTAGAATTCCTAATTTCTAATAACCAAATCTAGAACCCATTACTATACAACAAAAGAGAGCCAAATCTAGATTGATGAAATAAATATACAAAAACACATGGATTTACTCGAATCTAACAATTTTTACAAAAAAAAATAAAAATAGTTTGTTTCAAAAAAATAAAAATAGTGTAACCAAAATCTCAATACAAAAACATTAAACGATATAAACACCATCTTCAGAACAAGGATTAAAGCCAATGTAAAAGCCACAACGAGCCTACGAAACGACATAGTTTTTGGAGTTTTACGTTTATGAGCAGAAAATGACACGTAGATAATTCCATATGACCGACGTGGAAAGATGAGAAATAATGGGACCCATACATATTCATGACTCCGACTGCTACTTCTTTTTTACTTCTTCATCTACACAATAAACAATTAAAAAAAAAAATTAAACACACACAAAAAACTTGTAAAATTATATTAACATATTTATTTATTTTAAACACCAAATTAAAAATCTAATAATAAAAACAAAATGAACGACAACAACCCCATTTTATGTATATTGTTTAATAATATTTTCTCCTTTTTTTCTGTTCTTTTGTTTATTTTTTTTCGGAGTTTCTAGTGGGAGAGTATTGCGT